GAAGAGAAAGGTCCGCAAATTGCAGCCAGGGGCCGAAGAGGAGATGCGCAAAGAGTTCATCCCGGACAAAGATGCCAAGCCGTTGGGCATGGAAGTGCCCGAATTTTACCAAAAGCAACAGCAAGAAGTTGAAGAAGACGACGACGACGACATCTTTGCCGATGCAGGAGACGACTATGACCCGCTAGCTGGAATGGACGACAGTTCTGATGAGGAAAGCGAGGGCGAGGTCAAGGACGAAAAGGAGGCCAAGAACGAGCGCAGCGCCGACACAATCGCGATGCCACCACCGCCGCGGCCAGCAAGAGCACGCAATTACTTCAAGGACTCCAAGACAGACCTTATATCTTCGCAGACTCTACAAGGACCCTCCATGTCTGATCCGGCGATACAGGCTGCTTTCAAGAGGGCCGCTCAACTCAAGGCGGCGAACACAGATCCAGAGGGAGAAGCGGACGACGACGACGAGGAAGCCAAGGCTCGACGGGAGCGCCACAAGAGGATGCTGCAGAGCGTCGACCGAGATGCCGAGGACATGGATATGGGCTTCGGCACCAGCAGGTTCGAAGACGAGGCAGACTTTGATGATGCGCCGGTCAAGCTTTCGGAATGGGGCAACGAAGCAGACGATGATGACGGTCAAGGCGGCAAGAGCAAGAGGAAGAGAGGCCCTAAAAAGAGGAAGGGCGACGCCAACAATGCGGCTGATGTGCTGAGAGTGATGGAGCAGCGAAAGGCTGCCGGCAAATAAGCCAGCCATGATTGTCTTCAAACGGCTTGTCTTGGAGCTGTTACTTTGCAGAGTTACAGTCTGCCGCTTTGTTTCCTGGAGCATCCTGGACAAACGTATACAGCCATCGTCTTTACAAGAATCGAAATGATACCCTTCACGCGCCCAAACTAAAGCGCGTCTACGTTCAAATTGTCAAGTTCACCGTTTTACATGGTGACAACATTTAGTTCCTGTACGACATTGTTTGATCTTGAATTGTCAGCAGACGGCTGGCGCTAGATTGGACCATGTTTGGCGTGTTTTCAACGGCAAATCATCCTATAAACACCTCGTCCTCAAAACAAATCAAAACATGACGTCGAGACAGAGTCAGGATTCACGATGACTCAGCTGGGCTCTTGCTTCCCAGCGACCCGGCAAGCACGGGAAGTTGTTCGTTCAGGTGTGGATGCCGTGTGTATCTGCTGGACCTTCCGAAACGGGCGCAGGTCCAGTCGTTGCAGCGGCGCTCGGAGGGCACCGCCTCACTTATCAGAGACCGCCCGACTCCGCCCCCAAGGGTTATTTGGACCTGTGAGCCTGTGAGGTAAGAAAGCCTGGTGGAGTGTATGCTGTGCAGGATTCATCCAAGAAGTTAGGTTGCCCGAAAGCTTTCCTTGTCCCCCATGACTCCTGACCAGCGAGATCAATGGCCAAGGTGAGGAAACCGAAACAGAGCAGACATCATAGCCTTGACGGGATTGGCCCAACATTGTGTGGAAGAGTCCATGCCATTACCTAAAATTGACCTCTTGTTTCCTCTCTGTGCCTGTCAACTCGTCACCAAACAATTCCGCAGTCCGCAAACCCGCTGCAGACCGGCCGGCTCCCCCGCCCCCATCCTTGGAGCCCCAGAATGAATACCTTACCTTGCCTTGCTCCGTACACTGTTATACTCCATTCCACCACCCCGTGCTCGTTTGGTTTGGTCTTATCCACCGAAAGTGGGCACCACACACGGGCTTGTAAACTAAAAGCGCAACCCCACGGCACCGGCGACAACGTCCGTGGTCTGCTCACCTTGCCGAGGGAACACCAAACTCAACGCATCCGTACAGAATATCATTTTTATCATTATTTTGTGCGGTTTCATTACCTATCCTGATAAGCCACAAATCACGTATATCTTTCATCACCAACAATTCATTTGCCTGAGCCACAATGGTTGACCTCGATTTGCCCGAAACACCGGTGCCGGTCTGGCTGGATTGTGATCCTGGCCATGATGTGAGTTATTGTCCTGAGCTCGTGATGTGTCTCATCCAGTCCATGTGACGTTGCGCTACCTCACTCAGATATTGGTGAAATATAGCACATAAACCAGCGAGCGATCACCAAATACCTTCAAGCCAGTACTGATCAATCTCACAGGACACCTTTGCCATCCTCCTAGCAGCCTATCACCCAACAATAAAGCTGCTAGGCCTCTCAACCGTCTTCGGAAACGCCCCCCTCGAGTGAGTGAACTTTCAACCCGCATTCTCTCTTACACATCTCATAATCACGAAATAAATAGTACTAACCAAACACTCCCAGAAAAACCACAAACAACGCCACCTCAATCCTCACAGCAATCGGCAAACACAATGACATCCCCGTCCACGTCGGCGCCGCAAAGCCAATGTCCCGCCCGCCAATGCAAGCCGCCACCGACATCCACGGCGAATCCGGCCTAGACGGCACCGACCTCCTCCCCCAACCCGCCAAGGACGCAAACCGCTCCGTCCCGGCCATCGACGCCATGGCCGCCGCCCTCTCCGCCCAACCCGCCGGAACAGCCTGGCTCGTCGCCACGGGCTCCCTCACCAACGTCGCCGAGCTTTTCGCAAAGTACCCGGACCTGGTCTCCCACCTCAAGGGGCTAAGCATCATGGGCGGCGCCATCGGCGACGGCTTCACCGACATTGTCCTGGGTGTCGTGGACGGCGTGCCGCGCGTGGGCAACTGGACGCCGTGGGCCGAGTTCAATATCATCATCGACCCCGAGGCCGCGGCTGCCGTGTTTCATAACAAGGCGCTCGCGGCCAAGACGACGCTTGTGCCGTTGGATCTGTCGCATCAGGTTCTTGCTACCGAGGAGGTACGGGATGCGTTGCTGTACGGGACGCACGGCGGGGAGAAGACGGGCAAGGGGAAGACGACGTTGAGGCAGATGTTGGTTGAGTTGCTCATGTTCTTCGCCAAGACGTATAGGTATGTGACACGCACACTTCACTTCACTTACACCCTCTTGAATGTCCCAAGAGTTACTAACGCAGATGGACAAAAGCGACGTTTTCGGCATCACGACCGGACCCCCCCTTCACGACCCCCTCGCCGTAGCCGCTGTGCTGACGGGCACGCGGCACGAGATCCCTTTTCACGACTACGACGCCAAAAAGGGCAACTGCGTAAAGTACCACGAGCGCTTCGAGCTCACCGTCGTCACGGAGGGCGACCTCGAAGAAGCCAAGACGGGCAAGTCGCAGCTGGGGCGGACGATTGCGAAAGCCCTGCCGCCGGGGAGCGAGGGCGTGAGGGTACCGCGCGGGCTGGATATCCCCATGTTCTGGAGGGTGATTGAGGAGTGTACGGAGAGGGCGGATCGGGTTAATGCGGGTGACGTGGGTGGGTTGAAGGAGGGTGGGACGTTGGAGAAGTGAAGTAGGTAGGGAACGAGGATGTTCGAGGGAAAATGGGGTTGTGTGGATGCTCCTGCTTGGTGGGTTGAATATACATTTTTTTTGGGTATCAATAGAAGTGAGTATTCATGCAGTCAGTCACCTGCTATGGTCAATAGGTTGGTTTCTTGCTCAAATTGTCACCATCGGATGAGGAGACCTGTTGGCGTAACAGTTGGGACTGCTCACTCCCGACCTCCGCGCCAGCAGCTCGACCCCCGGTGGCTTCTTCTGTTTGAAGGTCTTGAGTTCGAGTCCCCTCGTAGACTTCTTTTCTTTCAAAGAGCCTACGAGTCTGGAGAGGCGTTATAGTGAAGTAAGTGAATGGCGATATCTTTAAGGAAAACACTCCATCCCCTGAATGAGAGCCCTAGGTTGACGAGCGGTTCGTGGGATTTATTAGAATCGTCGACTCTCCCAGCAACTTAGTAAATAAAGTCGGCTGGCTACCTACCATCTAGCACAATCCCCTACCTCCTTAACATACGAAACAACAAAAAGTCAAGGGCAATCAATCAATGTTTGTCCCACGATTGGAAAATGAAACTGGAAACCCTTCATAAGGACCGTCATCTTACTCCAGCCGTCATGCGACCATGCTTTACCAACCAAGGTCGCCTACGTGTCAACTTCCGGACCAAAAGTAGCGATTTAATAGCAGGAAACCTTGGACGATGAGACAGCTCCAACATCTGGCAGCACCATCTAGGCAGAGACGGTGACAGAATATTCGTGTCTGTAAGAAGAGACTGATCCTTCCGTCGTCTGATTAACCTGAGTATTTAAGGTCCTTAGTTCTGTGGAATGTGAACACATCGACCACACCCACCCACACAAGGCCTTCATCCATTTGTTGTGCAACCGTCTCCAGATAAATTCTTCTCAAGGCAAAGGAATGAGCAAAGGTCGATGACCTTCATTCACCAATCTCATCTCACCACCTACTCCAAGTTCCATAACTCCGACGTCTCTCCGTCTCCCGTCGGAGACTGGGGGAGTATTCCGTTACACCATGTTGAGAACCGGCAACTAGCGGCAGAAGACTCCATTAAGCTACACAAAGGCGAGTTAGTTCCGAAAGACAACGCCGAGCCATCAGGAGCTTTAAACACCGGGTCGACCAACGAAAGAATATCACCAAGTAGCTGAGATCAGTCTGTGTCAAGCGTGTACACGGATCTCCCTCGCAACCGCCAATGCCAGCGTAGGCTGTGGACATATACTCTCAAGTGATTGCCGTGTTTAAATAGTAATCTACAGGCAGCAAAGCAGATGGAAGGTTCGGCACCGCTGCGAATTCTGCTAGATCTAGATCTCAGTCCCGCAGCCAGGTGCGCGATTATCACAAACATGCATTGCTCCAACTCTGATGACTTAAGTTGTCTGGCGATTCGGCCAATGCGCCTTCATGTATTACGTCTTATCTATATGTGAAGGATGTATCAATAACCTTCAGAGTGTTGTACAAGGGAACTTTATCCCATTCCCGTTCTCTAAAAAGGGGTATCATTTTTCTAGCTCACGCCCAAATTTTGCTGTCTCTCTTTTTCTCACCCGTCCAAAGTGACTCAAAATCGCTGGTCATCAGAACCGTCAAGCCTCTGCAACATCCTCAAAACTCTCTCATACGTCCACACCGTGATCGCGCTGCCAGGCGCAGCCTTGATAAGACTCACCATGAGGCCCCGATACAACCCGCGAATTCCCTCTTTCGCAAAAATGATGCGTAAACCGCGCACCGCGCCGGGGTACTCGGGGATATTCTTGTGCACGTACCGCGACCTCGTCGGCCCCTGGACCTGAATGCGCTTCCGCACCAGATCGAGCGGGAAGACGGCCGTCTTGGACAGCACGCTGGCCACGACGCCGGCCGTGGCGTCGCCGCCACCCCACGGCAGATGCAGATCGCCCAGCGGCAGCCGCAGGCCCTCGTATAGAGCAAAGAAGATGCCCATGTACGGCACGATCTGCGCCACGCCGGGTCCGAGGCCGCGGAAGAAGCCGCGCGGGCCCTCGTCCCGGTAGATATCCGCCACCGCGCGCCGGAGGCTCGTATACACCCGGTCGTTACCCTGCGCCGCGAATCGGGTCCGTAGGAGGTCGAGGGGGTATGTGGCTGTCGTGGCGGCGGCGCCGGCAGCGGCTCCGGCGAGGAAGGACTCGGCGGCGTTTGGTAGGCGGTTGTCAAAAGCTGTTTTGAGGAACTGCGCCGTCGTGCGATACGTCGTGAATTGGACGGCCGAGTAGCACACGTACATCATCTCGGCGGGGACGTTACCCTTCCACAGGCCGGTGATGCCCTCGTTGGCGATGACGTGCCTCATGGTGTTCAGGGTGCCCTTGTACACGGGCCCGCCCCTGGCTGATCGGATCGACAGAGGGTCGGAGAGCGAGTGCGTCTGCAGCTGCAGGCGGATCTTGACGACATCGAGGGGGGCAATGACAAAGCTGTTTGCGCCGTCGCGAAGAAGCGGCAATGGTCAGCCTGAATCACTAAGCCTCAACCGTTGGGTTTGGCTTACCGAGCAAACAGGCCGGCGGTGGCGCCGGCCGTTACAACCTGCAGGCGGGAGCCCTGGGCGCGAACAGTGTGTCAGCATCGTGACGTGACTTTGGGTTGTTGACAGGTCGGAGAGGCCGTCACGTCAGGCATAGGAAGGTCTAGGTCTAGCCTTACCTCATCCTTGAGGCGTTCGCCGCTGGGCGACATGCATCCGGTATTGTCCTCGTGGGACCTGGCGCAGAAACTCTAAGACGCAGTAGGAATGGATGACAGAGAGAGACAAGCAAAGCGGACAGACGGCTGCTCGCTTGCCTCTTGCTTTCGGTGATGGACGAGTGGGCTTCGGGCCCGGGTGTGCGAGGTTTTTCAAGGTCAGATGGTTGGGATCGTCTGTGGGTGCCCGTCCAAGCGGCGCGATCCGAGATGGCACGGCGAGGCGTCCGTCGTGATTCGTTTCTCTGTGTGGCGATGACGGGAAGCTAAAACAGCAGGAATTGAGGCTTCCGCAATGAGGCTGAGGGGTCTCAATTGATGGAGAGCGTGTTTGAGAATCGGTGATTTTCTTCCGGGATCGTGAGGAAACTGAACAAATCTTCTAACGTCTGTTCGCTGACGGTCGCTGTTATTCTGAAATTTCCGTAGATGTTTAGGTTGGTCGCGTGCGGAATTTTTTGTTAGTACGTAAGATAGGTAGCTCCAAGTACCTCACTAGTGTAAGTTAAGGTCCGGGTAGGTAAGTTTGCTTGGCCTTATCGCGCGCAAACACCCCCCAGCTATGGAACCTTGACTGGATGGAACCGACCCCGAATTGCTAGGAAACCCCAAGCAGTGTGACGCAACTTCGACGATAGCGGGCTGTCAAGGACGGGACCTTCTCGGATCTCCCACTGCAGCTCGGGGGATGTTTACTGCGGCCTGGCCCCACTGTGGGCGTGACTGCAAGCTGCAAGCTGCAGCAGGGAGACCTTCCTCGCATTGAGTCTTTGTTAGATGGATGAACAAGTCACCAAAAGCAGCTTAGCCAGCCGTGCCAGCATAGCCACGCAGGGTCTGGTCCCCTTCACCCGTGCGGACGGAACAGAGCGGGCGAGAGTCTTAGAGAGCGAGCGGCGATGGAAAACCCACGGACAGATGCAATATGCAAATGCGAGGTCAATTTCAACATGACATACCTAGGATCGAACAAGTGAAGAAGAAAGAAGAGACGAGAGGGGCTTGGCTATCTCACGGGACTCGCTGCGAGACTTGCCTGCGGGAGAAGGAATGCAGTGATATATCTTGAGTTCTCAGACTTGCCGTCTTGTGACGACGGTAGATGAGCCCCCGTGACTTGCACTGATAAGGTAACACTTTGACGATTACAGAGAACACTGTAAGGTAGAGCAGAAGAAGAAGAAATTACAGGAAGAGCGCCTCAATCAGGGACTGCTGCACGAGCCACTATTGTACGCCTCAGTGATGTTGATGACAGAGACAAACGAGAAAGAAGTCTGGAACAGACACCGGTATGGCAATGTGGTGACTAAGTAAATGCCATGTGGGAAGCAGTCCTGACAAATGTCTTTGTCTCGTCTATGCTCGGCAGCTCCTGTTTCGAGGCGCCGGGAAAGCCGCAAGAATGAGAAATCAGGTACCGATACCGGGTATTTTCAACTTGGTAGGTATTTTAGGAGGAGAGAGAAACAGAGACAGGGCCGGCAACGAGAGACGGAACAAAAGAAAAAAACGACCGTGAGACTAGCAGCCCCAAACAAGCCACGCCGAAATGAGACGAGACGTGGATGAGAAGGCAAGGACACACGGAAGTTGGAGCCGGAAATCCCATTGCCTTTCCATACAGTACCTTAGGTACTAATAAAGGTAGGTACGGATAGGGATACCAAGAGAGACCTGGAGTCTTGACACGTGCAAGAGACCTCAGCAGCGTGTCATTGGCCAGTTCGCCTTTTGTCAAGGACACCTGGACAAGTACGGCAGAAAGTACAGGGAAGTAGTCATGTAGCATTGGGAGAAGCGTCAGTGGTCGACTTCCCTCCGTCCGAAACGACTGCCCTGGGCGGAGTCGCAGCAGCCTTTGACCTGCTCCAATGTGCCTCCGCATTGGCCAGAACCGCCTGCCTTGGCGACCTGCCCGCCCTTGCCTCCCCTCAACTGTGGGGTCAGCCCCCCGACCGAACTCACTATCCGTCACCCGGGAAGGTCGACACCAGCCTTTTCCAGGTGGATCTAGACTTTTGGCTCCTTGGGATCTGGGACGGGAGAGGGGGGGGGGGGGGGGGAGCAGCCACGGAGCCATTGAGCGTGGGGCCGCCGACTCTGCGTAACTCGACGGAGGAGGCCATAGACTTTGTCGTCTCTCTCTCTCTCTCTCTCTCTCTCTCTCGCCTCTCACACTTGCTTCTCATAATAGTCGCGACTTTCCCTCCTTTCCTTTCTACGATCCCCTCTCTTTCTCTACTGTGTATCCTCACCACACACAACATTTGCCTCACGTCTTATAACACTTACTTACCACTCTGTCCAGACCCAATTTCACAGGCAGAGATTTCCGAGTTAGGCTGAACTGAACACCAAGACACCCAGTAGCGCTGCTGCATGTGATACCTACTGTCACGAGTGCCGCCAACACATACACACTATCAACCACCACAGTCGCTCCAAGTAGGCCAGTGGCATCTTGCTTCTTCAAATATCATACATCCCCGCCCGGCAAGGAGAGGCCGCGAGGGAGCGATATCTCTACAAATCATACCCTTACCTGTATCACAACCACAACCATGACTTCAACCACCACACCAATGCCCAACATCGGCGGCCTGTTGGCTCCGTTACTGCCCGCTCTCGTGCCGGCAAGCATCTCCAAACAGCCCGCCATCGGCGTCTTGCCGCTTCTCAGCCCCATCTTGAGGCAACGAGTTCAACTTCTTGCAGAGGCCAGCACCGAGCCATGGCTCCGTCTCCTCGCATATGACACCGACAAGGCAGCCCGCCTGGCAGAGATTGTCCAGAGCGGCAGGCTAGAGCCGCATCCCGTATCTGGCGAGGTCGAGGTAGACTGGGAATACGACGCAAAGACGAGGTACAGGCGGCTCGATCTCGAGACCTTACAGGCCTTTGTTGCCCTCGAGGAGCTCGAGTTGACCTTCCAACTAGTCTACTGCGTCGGCGACAAGGATGGCGGCGGCGACGGCTGGAGGATCGGCGAGGTTAGCGTCACCGACAAGGCGGCACCCTTTGGGACTTTTGGCGGCTATTCGACCATCGCCGAGGCCGAAAAGGCCTATGCAGACGAAAAGTCAAAGGCGGCGACGACGTCGAGAGCACCAGCCAGCTCAGCGTACAACGACGCCCCCGAGGCGGATGACGACGAGGATGATGGATACTGGGACAGATACGACGCAACTCCTGCTCGCACACCAGCAAATGAGTCCCCCGCAGTCAAGCGTTCCCCCGCGCCGCACGTACCACAGCCGTCGCAGCTGGGCCAGTTCCGAACCGACTCGGCGGAGGATGCGTACTATGCGCAATATGATTCAGTGCAACCGGCAATGGACGGCCACGATCCCGACGAGGAGGTCGAGGGCTTCGAAACTGCCCCTCCTCTGGGACTCGGCGCTGTTGTCAGCCAAAATGACTCGGACCGGGGTCTTAACGAGACAAACGGATCCTGGACAATGGCTGAACCCCCGCGGTCGCCCTCGATTCACAGCCAGATTGACGAAGACAGGGCTGCTGTGCTCCTTCATCCGCGTCCGGCTTCGAGCGCTAGCAGCAACGGCAGCCGTTTGGTCGAGAAACTCGAGGAGAGCGTGGGCAAGCAGGACCAGAATGAGTTCGGCGTGAAGCAGCATGTGTCGAGGAGCATTCGCAGCCTCTTCCTGCTGGCTCGCTCGTCCGGTATCGACAGAGAAGAGTTTGAGCGTTTAGTGAAGACGGAGCTGGACGTCCTCGGCATGATTGAAGATGACGAGGTTTGAATCCCGAGGCAGGCGGCCTTTTCGTGTATATGAAGTTTCTCCTCCTCGGTGGTGCTCCGTGGGGATTTCCGCGGGATCAGGCTGTTATTTGGCATAGGGTTGGGTTGCATGTACCGGGGCGTTTATCCATGGCCATACCTTTGACTATTGAGAATTGAATTCATACGAATTGAAGAAACGGTACCAAGAGAATGCAAGACGCGCAGTTGTGATGGAAAAGTAACCAACATCGGGGAACAGGAGAGCATATAGCAAAGGAATGCTCAACAATTCCCGTAGTGTGATGGGCGAACCCCGGGGCTGCTGATAGTCAAGTACAAGTCGGGAAACATGACGTCGTCCAGCGAAGGGCCAACCTTGGGTTTGGCGACCGAGTAAAGACCACGAGGAGACGGAGGTTGTATGGTACATTTATATATGCCACTGAGTCAATTGTTGTAAGGGCGTTTTTCCACAAGACGAAGATTTGAAAGTGTTTGCGTCGAGGTAGTCGTCTATCTGGGGGGTCCCCAACTGTTGTGAACCTTCCAACATGCCTCGGTCTGAGATGGGGAGGGGGGGGTTGAAATGAGCCGACGGCTGTCCAACCATATCGCCCGCCTGTCTAGTCCAGATCGTCTGATCTTTCACATTCCTCGCGACGGACGATAGAACGAACAAATGGGGAGACTCTGGTGTGGGCAGTACCTAATTCATCGTACACTCTTGATGAGGATCTTTGACATGGATGTTTCTCTCCTCGCCGGTAGTAGATGAGATGAATAGCTGGGTTTTTGGTTCTAGTCAACTAGGAGCACTCATCCTCGATGAATCGACAGCTGTTTGCCGGTAATCGTGAACGGGGAGAACATTGTGTGAAGCGCAGCGCCCCCTTTCATGCAGAACGCAGCAGCAGAAGCAGGGTCAAGGTTAAGGTCAAGGTCAAGGTCAAGACCCAAAGTCTTATTTGGCTCGTCGGGGTTTCTGGATTCTCATTACTTGTGTAAGCGCCCAGCCGGTTTTGGGGGTATGGTGTGTGTAAGACGAGCGGGCGCGCGGGCGGTTATGCAGTCGCCATGGGCGGGAACCGGGTCTATGCCGTACGCGCTGAGGTCGGCGGCTCGGTTTGTTCGAATGTTGGTTGGGAGAGAATGACACTCCAAGGTTGAAAGGATAGGGCGGGATGACGAGTGGCGATGTTGGTTGAAGATTGGGTTTTAGTTGATGTTGGTGGATTCACGGCTTCGAACCGAACCATCCGCGAGGAGCCTGGGCTGGGACTGATCGCCGAATCTCCCAATCCGGTCAGTCACAAGAAAAATTCATCACAGGGTTGTCTTCTGTTTTGAATTCCTCAGAAGATGGTCCTCATCAGTCGTTATGCCGTGCAAGTTGGAAGTTGCATCTTGTAGTTGAAGCCATCACCAACTGCCCGCGACCCGTACCGATTGACCCACCCCGAAAATGACCCCACAAAAGCTTCGGAACGTCTCCGCGCCTCAATCATAAGGCCACAACTAAACGCGCCAATTGGACACGCGGGAACAGCCGTCCCAAAAAAAGTTCACCATCGTCGAAGCTCCAATTCTACAGCTTGCTTTCCCCCTTCGTCGGCGAAACCTCCCTACCACGTCCACCCTAACGACCTCCTCCTCTAGATCCACCGGCGAATTGAGGAATCCAACACACACATATACCACAACAATGTTCTCACGATTAAGGTTACCGCGCATCGGCGCGGGCATCGCCGCCGCCGTCAGAGCAGCACCCGCCAGACCTCTCCAACAGCGCTCGATACACTACGTGCCCCAGCTCTCCCACGACTTCAAGGACGGCGTCCCGGGCCTGCTGTCGGCCGATGGCTACGATATGGCGTGGAACCAGTACATGACGCTTATCCTTGACAAGCTCAATGCCTTGATTGCAGGTCAGTCTATACCGGTCACCCTCCCCCCCCCTCTCCTGACCTGCCCTTCTCTACCGTCGCATGACAATCTCGAACCGTACAACTCGCATACACTATACCAGAGAGACAGCCAATACTAAACTCACAACCAACAAACAGGCACCGACCTCGAACAACGCGACGTCAAACAAATCCTCCTCGCCTCCGCCCAAGACCCCTCCCAAGCCCCCGTCTTCAACAACGCCTCCATGGCGCACAACACCCACTTCTTCTTCAAAAACATCACCCCGAACCCGAAACCCATGCCAGAGTCCCTCGCCGCAGAGCTCTCCCACTCCTTCTCCTCCATCGACACCCTCCGCCGCGAAATGATCCTTACCGCCTCCTCCATGTTCGGCCCCGGCTTCGTCTGGCTCGTCAAGGCAGGCCACCAAGACTACCGCGTCCTGACGACCTACCTCGCGGGCTCTCCCTACCCGGGCGCCCACTGGCGCCTCCAGAGCACCGACATGAACACCGTCGGTCTGGGAGGCTCCGCCAAGAACTACTTCCAGCGCAGCGCAGCGGCGCAGAGACCTGGTACGAAGCCGCCCGGCGCGCTTGATGCCGTGCCGCTTTTGTGCCTGAACACGTGGGAGCACACGTGGATCCGCGATTACGGGCTTGGTGTCGGCGGTCGCGGTGGCAAGAAGGCGTTTGCTGAGGCGTGGTGGGAGGTTATTGACTGGGAGGCTGTCAACACTGCGGCGGACATTCCTTCCCGGCCACAGTTCATGCGGTAAACGAAGACAAGAAAGGGGGGCGGCAAATGATGACTTCGTGGGAGGGGGATAGTCCTGAGAGGTTTGGTGAAGTAAGGCCTGGTTAAGGGGGGAAACGGTTGCTACGCGAGTGACAGTCTTTCCCCACAGCAGAGCCTGAACCAAAATACCTGCTGGGGAGCAAGAAGCGGTTGAGAGACCCCCGTCCATCACCAGCAGGAGAGGGTCTCTCCTTCTGACCCCAGCAAAACCTCTGTGTGTGGATAGTAGCTTGGGCGGTTTGGCGGGTTACATGTAGGAATTATCAAAAAGGAAACAGGAAGCTGTAAGAATAGAAAAAACCGCTGCATATACAGAAGATGGGGGGTTTGTGTTGCAGAAATAACATGTACCATTCCTGTACTACTTTAAGACTTCTTGTCTTTACCCCCGACAAACAATGATCGCGTCACTACTCTGCAAAGTACTTGAGTCGAATGTAAAAGGAAAGAAAGCTGACATGAAAGAATTGAATAAATTCGAATTGAATATTGGATGAATAATAATTAGGTATGGCTCATGGAGTATCACCCAGTCACCCTGCGACCGTCTCTCCATGTGACTTTCTGGTATATTCCCCAAGTTGACATAATTTGCCAAGTAACAGGAAAAGGAGAAAGAGGGAGGACCTAGGTATCTCGGCTTCATCGCCCTACCTTCCAGAGAGTGCCCCCTAGCTGACTGCACCTATCTCTAAAGTGAGCTACAAAAAAGCTCACCCCTTTGTTGGTTTGGGATTCCAAAAAGTAAGGTGGTAGACACGCTTCATGCAGACGTTGTTATCTCACGCCGGGGCGAAATGCGAGCAAGGTACGGTTGAGCTCGTTTTCTATTTCAAAGTTTCAAAAGGGGCCCCGATTACCCCCCGGTGAAAAGGGGGTAGAGACACAACAAGATGTCGGGTCACAACCCTCTTCGCCGTTCCTCAGAACTTAGCCTTGGACTCAAGAAAGAGCTATCTGTAGAGAAAATGCCGTGACCGCAACTGGATCTTCTCACTCAGCAAAAAGACTTTCTATTCGTCCGGCCCTTCGTCTTGCCTCGCTTGACTCTCCTGTCTAGATTGGCAAGACTGAAGTGTTTCTATAATTACGTTACAAAAGACAAGTATGGAAATGACTTCTCATGGTTCAGGCCATGGGGTTTCTTACCAAGACACTCTGAACAGGGTTTTGAAAGGAGTGGGCTTGTAATCCATCTTCCGCGTGAATGAGAAGGAAGCACGCCAGCACATGCATGGCATGGCAGATATATCAACATGACCCGGTTCCTTGGATTTTCTTTTTAGTGAAATAACTAGCTACGTGAAGGGAAAGGTGCAGAAAATCCTCCAACTGTTGTATTGTCTTGGTATCGTCTCTTATGGCTGTGTTGGACTCCCATAATGCGAGGCCGTGGAAACACAGTTTCACGGGTTTGGCCGTTTATTCACCTTTATGACTGATCTCCTCCCATGACACCTCCTTTCCTGATTCTCACGGTAGCCTCAGGACAACGAACCCCTTCAAGCCTCACATTCACCAAACCCTTTCATCCCATCTCTTCCCCCCCCCCGGGTCACACGCCCACGCCACACCTTCACCTTTCACCGCCCACACTCCACCCTCACTACTCTTTATCACTCCCAGTTCCCAAACTCCTCTCGAATCCCAGGGGACGCCCTGGGCCACTGGTCGAGTGGTTGAACACGATAATAAAACATCCCCCTCGGGTGGGGTTTTCATACGATACGGTCAGTCCATCGATTGCCGGCGTCGCGGGTTCAACCCCGGGTGTCGACATTTCGATGGTCAACTGTATCCGAACTTTTAGGCGGTTTTTTCTACTGGGTGTTTAATTTTTTGGGGGGGTTGAAATTGATTTTGATTATTTTGGCGACTTGAATTGAAGTTGGTGAAGTATTTTAAGACATGTATGTATATTGGGTGTTGGTGGTGGTGTTTTGGGTCGTGGTTTGGAAATCGATTTGAGGGAAGGAGGTGCGTGGGCTTTTTGGTGGATGTAGAAGCTGTATATGGATACCTCACTTACCTTACATTGGATCATGGTAAGGTATTGATTCCACGGGACCTTCGCATCACTTTGGCATCAGAGCTCGAAGACGGCTTATGGTGTTTCGTCATCGCGGGATGGTCATTACGCTTTCAAGACCATTGCCAGAGACCTTTACACCTTGTCCGCATACTTCAAGATGGACCATATCGCTTTGTCTTATTTCTATTCTCGTGGGAAACCCTTCGAGAACTCTCTCACGGGCAGATGGCAACAACAACAGATCTCATGCAAGCAAAATATATTGCGTATATATCAACTCCCTACTCAAGCGTCACCTAAGCCTCAAGTAACCAGACTATATAATTCAACCTACACCAAAACAACCAAAAGATAAGTAAAGCGACCGTGGGTATATAATCCTGACGAGAAAAAAAAAAGAAAGGGAAGAAAAAAAAAGACACGAAACGCCCCTTTTGTCACTGCCGCGAGGTATACAATCTGTCCCAAGTCTTCTAAGCGAATATCTACCAGACCCACACTCTTCCTCCCAAATCTCCGTCTCCATGTCCAGCATGTTATACGTTTCTCTAAGGAATATGAGAAGAAGAAAAGAAAGAAAGAGAACCAAGGGAAGAAGAAGAAGAAGAAGAAGAAGCGAAGGAGCAAATATGCCGACATTACAAAAAACTCAATATCATCAAGAGACACACACTCAACATCCATCCATCCATCTCACCCACCCCTATCCAAAGGACAAAAAAGTGAGCAAGAATCATCGACCAACCTGTGACGGCATCTGCGGCGTATACGGCACATACGGCTTCCCCCTCCGCACGTCACCGAGCTCCGCCTCCTCCATCATATCCGTAAACGTCGTATTCCTCTTCACCCCAGGCCGTCCGCCCACCGTCCGCGGGTCCGCAAACACGCTGATGCTCTCGCTGCTCGGCTCGCGCTGGAGGTGGGATTGGTTGCTGTTGTTGTTGATGATGTACCCCGGCTTCGGCGGCGCAAGCGGGTTCGGCATATTGGGTGGCTGTAAGCGTCTAGACCCGGAGTTGGGACGCATACCCCTAATGGGAGGCACAGCTCCGGCGCCTGCTCCCCCGACTCCTCCTCCTCCTCCTCCTCCCCTCCCAGGTGGCGTCCGAGGAGCGGAGTCGCTGCGCGCGAGACCGATGGGGTGGTGCGCCAGCGTCGTCGCCGTCGAGGAGAGGCGGTTGTGGCCTTTGTTGGGGGTATACCCCGCCGGCGAGGTGACGGAGCCGGAGCCGCTTCGCGAGCGGGAGTGTGTTGTGGATGGGGTCTTTAGGATAAAATCCGTCCGCCCGGTGGCGTTGTCCGTGATGGGGATGGGTTCCGAGATGAAGTTGCCAAAGGACGAGGTGGAGGTCGACGGGCGAGGGCCGCCGCCGCCGCCGCCGCGTTTCTTCTCGTTGAGTGGAGGCGGGCCGCGGCGACGACGGCGGGCGCAGAAGAGGAGGGCGGCGACGCCGAGGCCTACGCCTACGAGGAGGCCGCAGAGGGAGCCGATGACGATGGCGGTGGGGAAGGTACCGTTCTTGTTATCGGTGTCGCTGTCGTTGTTATTGTTGGTCTCGGCGGGCGTCGTGCTGGCGGCGATGGTTGTCGGTATAACGCTCGGAGCGGCGGTGGCCGTTGACGACGGCTTTGGGACTGGGGTAGACGCTTCCTCTGGTGCTTTGGTCTGATCCGAGTCCATCGTGCACTGTAGCAGGCTGTTGCAGCTGTATCCAAAGGGACAGCAGCTGTCGCCGCAGGTGGCGAGCGTGCCCTTGAGCACCGTGGTCTTGATGGATGCATCGGGGTGTGCCACGGGATCTTGGAGGTTGATGTTACATGTGATGGGCGAGATTCTGTCGCAGCTCTCTCCCTCGGGACAGCAGAGGACGGTGGTGTTCCCGGCCAGAGTGATACATTTCTTGCCTGTCCCACAGCAGAAGTTTCCCGGGAGGCCGTTGCCGCAGGAGGTGAAGCCCTCGGCGGCGCATGTGTTTTGTCGCTCGAAGACGGAGGGGATAGAGGCGGTATGGGCGCAGGCGAGGAGGATGGAGAGCACCGTAGCTCGGGTGCATTTTCGTAATCTCGACATGATCGTGTCCTGGGGGTATGTGTGGTAGTGGTGGTGGTGGTGTTATGGATGGGCTTCTTTCAGCCGGGGCGTTGCTTGATGGTGTTGCAGGGCCGGCGGTGAACACTGAGCTCTTACCGCAGAGTCAGTCGCGCGTATGGAAGGATGTGTGTAAGTCGGGAGTCAGGTGGCGGTTTGTGTCAATGGTTCATGACCACAAAAGGAGAGAAACGAGGCCCCGAGACCCTTCCCGGGGTGAGAAACAGGACACAAAGGCGTCGAAGTAAGTCGTGGGTTGGAGATGTTTCGAGTTGGTACGGCCAAGCACATACAATGGAATTGTCGCTATTCACAGATGAAAGGGTATAAGACAAGGAATGGCTACTGAGTTGTTTGTTAGGTGGCAAGAGGCCTCACAAAAGGACCCAAGAAGCAGTTCGATCGAGCAAAAATGACCTCGGGAAAAGAGATGGAAAACAATGACGAGAACGGAAAAGAGAGCAAAGAGAAGAATCGAGCGATGGGCCGAAAGATGATGACGATGTCGTTCCCACCCGATATTGAGCCAAAAGTCAATCAAGCCCAATCTTTTTTGGTCTGGCTCGATATCGCGGCAGGGTGGCATGGGGGCCACTTCTTCGGACCCCTACGACTGCCATTCGGCGGAGGACTCCCAAAGCGAGTGCGTAAGAAAAGGGAAAAAAAAGTAAAGGCTCTCTCAAGTTCAACTACTGAACTTGTTACGCGGCTCCGAAACGAACGAGCCTTCGCTTGTGCCCAAAGAAACAATGCCACCCGATCGACCCTCGCCTAAGAAGGCCGGCTGGTCGGTGGCCAACCAAGTAGCCCCCGAGTGGGATCGCGGCGACTTACGATGGTTTACGAGGGGGGGGGGGGGGGCTCCTGCTGTGCAAAGATTATCTTAGGCTCTGCAAGCGCGACTGGATCGCAGCGAGTGTCAGAACTGGTGGAGCGATGGTGTTGCGAACTCTGGACGTCTCCAGTATCACCACGTCGACTTGGAGAGACGACAAGCCCCCGAGCTTTTACCATCACGAGAGAGGTTGATAGGGCATCAGCGGCCAGAATGCAGACCTCACGGCCCCCCCCCCTGCCCCCAAAAACCTTGAAAACCATTGGCGGATATCAATAATTAGCAAATGGGTAGCGACAACAGCAGACAGACGGCAACGTTGGGCGGCAGAGAGTCTCACCGTGAGGCAGTGCTGGTCTGGGTAGTCGCTGGGCCGGCGACAACGAGAGGCTGTCGTTGGAGTGTGTCTTTGGTGGTGGAGATTTCCTCCTTTGGTGGTTGAAGGAGAATGAGAGGTTGTGAGCGGTTGGCGAGTCGCCCAGTCAAAGAATAGAATTTCCCAAAGGAGTCATCCAAAGTGCCAGAATGTAGCCGCGCAGCCCAAACGCGCGCCTATGATTCGTTCCTGACGATTTGCGGCCCCGACTTTAGGGGTGGCCCCTGCGTCAAAGGCGCCGGGGTGTGGCGGATACCGAAAAGTGGAGACAGACGGGGTCCGCCGCTCCATTGTCGGTGCGGTTCTCCCGTCCTTGTTAGCGTCCGTCCTTCCCTTCAAGGTTCCATTCTCTTTTCAGCAAAGACCCAGGTACTCTTTTGGGCGCCCGTCTTTAACCGCTTTATCCCATCCATGGCATTGTTCAAGAACCAACACCAAGCGCAGCTCGTGGTAGTAGGGATTAGTACTCAACCCTTGGCCTCGACTAAAGAAACAAGGGTTCAAGACATGGACATTGACCGAGGAAGTAGTCTCAAAACCCCAACAACAACCTTCAATGGTCCGCCACTTGGCCCGTCCAAGCCACACGTGACGTACGCCATCCGTTCCAGCCACTGCAGCCACTGAAGCCACGAAGCCGCTATTCCCGGTACCTCTTACCTTATACGCCCGCCGCTCTGCTGGCCATGCATCGGCTCCCTCACGTCCCTCAAACGGGTCACAGGACCGCCTCGCGAAAGCCTCACCTTTTGACCGATCGGCAGCCGGCAGACGACAATCCTCCAGTCAAGAGCCGTCCCTCTCATGAGTCCCATCTCGCAATGGAGGAAACCGGGGACCATTACCACGTCCACGGGCCAAAATCGGCCTTGGCCTACACTACTGTAGGAAGTCGCAGGTAGCATCACCATCGTCGTTGTCGTCGTCCTTCTCTCTTCAGCTCACCAAGGGGGGAGGGGTGTAACTGTTGACGATTGACGTTCTGAACCTCCATACATGATACCATCGTCAGCCCCCCCCCCCCCCGTCAATTTTCGCCGTCGCCGTCGGTGAAGCGTGTAAGTCGGCCCCAAAGACTACAGGCCCAAGGGTCTCCAAAGTCCACGATCCACCCAAAACGGCGGTCCCCATCCCGACCCGATGCCCCCTCATCCACTCCAATCAAATGATCTACGAGCAGCAAAAGAAAATGCCTTGCCATGATTGCCATGTTTTCTGCCCATGCTCGTCCTCTTCCCGCCATCCATCGCCCCCTCGAGCGGGACTAAAAGATGCCAACGTCGTTGGCCAACCTCGCACTTCTACTCCGTACAGTACACACCCCCCAATCCACGTGACGGATTGGTATTCGCCCAAGACCTCTCACGTCTCGAAGTACCTATTCCTCCCCCCGAAGAGACGCACGTCCGATCCCGTGGTCTCATCCGCTGCAGGGGCCCCGGCAAATAGAAAAGTGAGAGAGAGAGAGAGGAATGAGGGAACGGCTTTTTTTCCAAGCTTCCAGTTTTAAGCCCCATGCAAGGGGAGAAGAGCAAATCGTAAACCATAGACACCGTTGTCACGTGGATACTTGGTTGAGTTTTCCCTGTTTTCGTACTACGCTAATACACCAAATCTTGTACACCCCCTCCCCCTCCTAAGGTAGGCTTGCTTCCACCCAAGAACGATATCGGCGCCGAGAATTAACCACCCCCCCAAAGGGACTCCATTTTCGCCAATTCACGGTGATTCACACACATATACGAATATGCGTGTTGTGTGTTCTGTGTTCTGTGACTCAAAAACGGCGGTGAACCGGTGCTTGAAAAATCATGGGGAACGGGTAATCCGTACGGGGATATGCAAAGCGGTGGCGCTTAAGCTTGGTGAATCTCGCTTTCTGTCATCTGAGACCATCTCTCTCTCTTCCCCTGGTCTCTTTATCCTTCCATGCCCAGATGTATGTCCCCACACAACCCCAAAAAAGCTCCCTCCCTTTCGTCAATACCTAAGGTAGATGGATAGATGACAGAGGGGTGTGTACTTGAATCTGAACAATTCAGACTTGATATCAAAGGCCCCCCGTATGAACAGACATCTCGAGACCACAGTTAACTCGATACTGTGGTCCTCAAAACACCCCCAGCCAACTGTTTTTGTTTTACCAAAGGCACACCCCCCATTAAGGTAAGAAAGAACACACACAGGAATGATGCCATGAGCCCCCAGGTGACTCTATCCTCTCCCATGGCGATGGGTTTTCTGCAGAACCAGCAAAAGCTCGGTTTCCACATTCCCAAATGCCCCAGCCCCCATGCACGGTAGACCTTTAATCAAGCCAATTACCCATCATCAGCACTCTGAACAAACGACCCTGTTCACCCCACTGACGTCGAACCCCCCCAATCCATGAACATGTACATACACCTAGAGATCTCGCATCTTCCTCTGCCTCACCCTCCTCCCCCCCCCCCTCTTCTTTCGTGATCAACCCGAACCCAAGTACCTACCTCGGTGGGGTGAAACGGGATTACCCAATTCGTGATCCCGGCCAAAGACAAAGCCACACAGACCGAGGATGGACGTCAGGTGAGCTCTACCTTCTACCACACACCTTCCCTTCCCTCACCTTAATTACCACGCGCACACCCCCCGCCGCACACCGGGCCAAAGCTCACCGAGCCCAAGCCAACCTTCACCGCTACCTTACCGGGAAAACACTCACACTTTAACCTCCACAACACCGACACCATAGACTTGAAAGGGGACATGGGATACACAAAGCACACCTCAGGGCACCATACAAACACATACCCACATACACTGGCTTGTGCGACTGCGCGACCTCTTACCCCTCCAAACCTCCCACCATAACCCCTCCGGCATCGCAAGAAAACAACCTCCATTGACGAAGAACAAAAGGCCGGGAACCCCCCCCCCCCAGACGGCGCTATTGCGTCGGTACCTCAAGCGAGTCAAGTGTGCTATAGCGCGTTGAAAAAGTATTATAGCCACCATGAGGAAGAACAAGCTCTCTCTGTGTCCGTCTCAATTGATGAAAATCTCGAAACCTCATGACCAACCCACAGAGCCAATTAATTACCTTCCTTACCCCATGTCCATCTTGACCAAACATCCTCATGCTCCCATCCCGCCCATGCTTCAATTGGCAACCAGGAAATGGTGCAAAAAGGCACTGTACTGTAAGGTACCTACCTCCTCACCTTGGGCAGAACAACGTTACAGTCCCTTTGTACTACCCTCGATCGGCAACTTGCATCTTTCACTCCCCCCCCCCCCCCCCCCATCCTCTGCTTCCGAGTTCCAAAGGGAACCAAAGGAAAACCTCCCATCACTGTTTTCCCCGCCGTCTTTCTTTTCGCACTCAATTCGCCCAGCACCTCTCGCTCTCTCATCCGTTGCTCCGTTTGACAACCCCCCATCGTGCCATTTGCGCGTAAGCTTCGGCCCAAGTACTTCCAAGGGGGAAGGTGGTGGTGATCGCCACGCCCGTGCAAGTAAGCCGGAGAACTTTCCCACCTTACTGTGTGTGTACTCTCCCCCCACCCCCTAGCATAGACCGGCCCAGACAACTTCGGACTCGGCCGGTGGGCACCATCCGTGAGGGAATTCTTGCCGTCACCACAGGAAAAGATCACTCGAAGCGCAGGAGAAAGTCGTAATGTGTGAAATATTGCTTATGAAATTGTTGGGTATGATGTTTTGGTATTACATGATTCCTATCATCCTGCTCGATTCTGCCACTGCTCCGTAGAGAGTTAAAGGCCAACC